AAGACGTAGAATATATATATATATATATATATATATATATATATAAGTTGAGGAGCTTGTTCTTTTTTTCCAACTTGAAAACTATCCGATATAAGACAAGAATAAAAATCTTTAGATGAAAACAATTTGCTTAAATCTTCCAAACTAATATTTCAAGTACCTTTACGAGTTGAGAAACAGCTTGAACTAATCATAGATTTTTGATTGGTATAAATTTATGCTGTGGACTTTAAAAATCACCGGAGAATCCGAAAATATTCCAATCGTCACCTTGTGAAAGCACTTTCGAAGTTCTCGCACTTCCTTATTCTGAAGTCAGCTTTCATAAACCGTTTACTACTAATAAGCCACTGACCTTTAAAAGTCATCCCTACAACTTAATGAACTTAAGGAAACAATACCATCATAACTAGGGAATATGTTTTTTTATGGGTAACAATGTCTTCGGATTTGTGTAAAGCTCACATTTCATCCTGTGTTGTATCACGACATAATAGCCAATTCATCCACGCATAGTTCGGTTTTCTTTTTCTTTCAAAAAAAAAGTTTCGTTTCATTTTATCGAATACACATTTCCTTGGTAAATAAGACTTCTGTTGATTGATTACCATGGAAAATGCGAATCTTAGCAATACTTGTGAAGTAAAGGACAGGGTAGGGTCAACAGTTGTTTTGAGGTTCGGATATTCAATTTCCAACTGAAATATGGAGCGACTATCTAGTTTTTCTGATTAAATAAAAAAAACCACAGTTCTTTTTTCTTTCTCTTCTCAGGTAACTCGAAACATAATGATATTTCTATCCATGAGGATGGAAAAAAAAATCAATTTCTTGAGAAATGGAGAGTATAAAAAACCAATGTCCAATCCACAAAAAAAGTTACAAGCCAAAACGGGCGAAGAGTTTTAATAGAGCAACAGAACTACATAACAATAAAAAAGTCGAAAATAATGGATCACAATACGTAAAAAATCCACTCAGTACAACGCCGGTAATAATTACCCTAATCAACATCAGTCAGAGTTATAGAAATCCACTTCAGAAACAAAGACTCGAACTGCATACCATCCACAACAGATGCAAAAATACAAGAAACTTCATCGATACTACTATAGTTCATCAACTTAAAGGCATATTTGACATATTTTTGAACTATGTTTAATACCGGTCAAAAAACCTTATCAAAATCGATCATCAGTTAGAACACAATATTTTATAAAGTAATCACATGTAATTTAAATTCCATTCTTTTTAGATATTTTTTAAAGAAGTATTTTTGCGCACTTTTTTTCACGTCCACAATTTTAAAAAAACCTTGGGTAATTTAAACAACGAGAAACCATTATTTAAATGAAAAAAAGTTGAGGTGAATGAAATTCCAATAAAAGCGCCTATGCGTCATTATCTTGTACTAAAACAACTACTGACTTTTCGAAACCGCAATCTTGAAAGGTCGGGATATTAGTTGGATCCTGCACTGTTCCAAATTCACGATACCATTCGGGTGCACAATTGAGTTGCTTTCTGGGATAACTTGATAACAGCGTAAGATTCGGTGGACAATTCTCATGAGCCAAGGTCGCGTTAAATAACAACTACAAGTAAAATATACTGTAAAATAAAACAAAACTGAAAAATTTAAAAACATGCAGGGGTTAAAAATGTAATTCAGAAGTAAATAAATATCAGTCCCTGCCGAAAACACAAATCATGGCTTAACTCTTCAGTGAAGAAAATCAATGATATAATTTACTTTTTATTAATTTTAAATGATGAATGACTGATATGTTTCAAAATGGTAGCCGACTTAATTAGCATATATTACCATTATCAGATGGATGATAAACGAATTAATCATTATACATCTATCCCCACCAATCAAATAACATTAAAATTATTGCGTATTCATATAATTTATGCAGTAGTACATCAACGAGCCAAAAGGAGTATGAAGGAAGAATGCAAAAAAGTTAACCTCCAGACTATTTGTAACATCAAACCTCCTTTCAAACCGTTCGCCATTAGGGAATCGTACACTTACTCGAATACAGTTAGGTTCCTGTGACTCCGGTGGTAATTCACTTGCCAATTTCACTCTTATAGCATCTAATTTCTGAATGATGAAACGCATAAAACTTACGAATAATTACTACGATAAAATTAATATTTAAAATTAAGTTATAATCTAACATCCGCACAGCATTAAATACTAAGCTAGACCAAAAAATTACTAGCAATAGCAAAATTACTTTTGCTGGCACTTTTATTTCTATTTATATCATACTCAATAACAGCTTTTTCTGAAAATCGAAGATTTCTACACTAAATAGTTTTCCTAGCAACTAGTCATTCGTGCGATTACTTCCAACACATATTGTTAGAATAGCAACCACCGTTTCATAACCTTCTCTCTCCGTTTCAGAGAAATGTATGACCAATTATGAATCAAATCCGATACCGAAAAGCCAATGGAGTAATCGTCCTCAGCCATTTCTTATCTATGAAGCTTTCTTTCATACTGGATTCTATGTCAAGCGTCAACTATGTGAAAATTATCTTTGTTATAAAGACTCTACAGTCAATAATGTATTGGAAACAAAATAAAATCACTTCTTTCTTTTCTTGTTTTTTCTTTTTCTCTTCTGCTTTCTTCATTTCAGCCATTTTTCGCTCACTCTCAGCTCGTTTCCTCTCATTTAGACGTGCTCGATCAGCTGTCAAACTACGCTGATAATCTGATTCCTGCTCACGTAGAATGCGATTGTTCACCTCACGTTGATGTCTAGTAATGATGAACATGAAATGCTTTGCCTTTGGAAATTTACCAAGGAAAAATTCATGACAAATCGATGTGTTGTACCTTTCATTCCTTATAGCATCCAAATAGCTGCGGTTTTCATCAATCGCCGTTTGAATTGTGAAAAGCATCGGCTCAAGCTCATATTCGCCTTCTAATCGCAATACCTATGATAGTAACAAATCGAAAATTTAAAAAATTTCTGAACAAAATTTATTTTTGAATAATTTCCTGTCATGACTCAAACAATACAGGCGTGAATCTAATTGCAAGCACAGGTCTGTACGACTAAACTGAAGCTGTTGCGATTAAAGAATAAACGAGTGGAATTACAAACAGATATTTATCCAAACGACATAAGTAGACATATATTACTTGAATCGTTTGTGCCTACCATAAAAGCATTTTATACAAAATGCTCGGAGACAAGTCATTTTCTATATACAAAATGCTAGGAGACAAGTAAGGTCATCTTCATAACTGTTTCAAAGACTTTTTGAACTTACCACAACCATTCGTGTCTCACGCATACAAAGTAACCCAAGAAATGGATAAGTGTTTTCCCGAAGAGCCATTGACACTGCAAAATTAAAATTGATGCGAATAATGGGAAAAAATGTAAGCGATGAAATATCATCGAAGTGACACTGACGAAGATGATGGAGTAAAAAATCTTGCCTTAACAACTGTTAAAACCATGCTGGTATAAACTGAAGACGCGTGAATGCGCAAATTATTGAAAATAAGACCTATCAAGTACCAACCCAGAGAAAACTTGATAATCACTATGTCAGTACTTTCGAACAATACTTTTTATAACAATAGAAAATCGTTTCATATCACCTTTGTAACCTTCTTGACTACGTACTGATACACCCCACAGCAGAATTTCATTCCGATCCAGAAAGTGTTTCATTTGATAACTAAGTAATGTCTCACGGACGAAACGTTCACAAGATTCATGTGACGGATTGTGTAAATAAACAATCATGAAACGTAATGAATTTTTGCACTCGTTTATGGCCTGAAAAGAAGTGGCAAATATTAGTTGGGTTTTTTTCCAAGTGCTGAAGATGAAAAGCCCTGCAATTTTGAAACCCCTTTGTAGAAAAGGATGAGTGAATTACTTAATACACACGTTATATTTTCTCTAACAGTTAAATTAAGAATGTTTAAAAATTCTACCATCACTAAGCGGAACTAAAGAACGTTTCTGACCCTTTACTAATAATAACTGACATCATCATATGATCCAGTGAAGAAGCGAATCCCATTATTAGAATCGCCAAAACGAGCATTAAATTCGTCAATAAAGTGTCGTACATCCCCTCTCGAATCAGCAACTGCCAATGGCGGTGCTCGAAACAGTGACCCTTAATTGGAATAAGAAATTATTTGTCTCTTCTCCTATTACTGAATAATTGAATAGCATGGACTTTGGAACGTCTGCTCGCGAAGAAAGACATATTATAAAATCAAGAAAAAGCTAATGCTTGAAGCTATCATGCTAAAATTTTTTTTGTTAACATCATTTTTCAACTTATTTTTCTAAGTAAACTTTTTCTCAACTTATTTTTCTAAGTAAAGAAAACCATTTTAACTGCTGCAAAATGAAGGAAATCTTTCGATAACATACACAGGAAACTGACAAGCTCGAATAAGCTTTGATAAGCAATGAAGAATGGAAGTTTGACGAGCGTAACAGCCCATTCAAACCAAGTTTGTGGAGCTGGGGAACGTCTTCTCAACGGCACTTTTGCAAGAGGCAAAGGTGGGTGTTGATTTGCAATTCTAAAAGTAGAAGAAACTATTCATGATCGCTTTCCGCTTTCTTGTATACATGTAATAGTTTTAAAAAAGAACAGTATTTTTTTATTTGAGGGGATTCGACAGTTTAATGCGACTAGTTCATTCGAAATATTATCATTCAATTTAGCATGACTGGTTCGTGAAATGGATATCATTCATCTAAGAGCTCGAAAAAAGAGGAATTACTGTGAAGTTGACGGTTCATTTACTTGTACATGTCTATGTCTCAACTCGTTCGCCGCATTTGATGCATTTTGTTCTTCTTCCTCTTCTAATTGTCCACCAGTCTGGAAACGAATTTGGGTCGCACAGTATGGAAGGTAAACAAACATAACACTAGTGTAATAATACGAAGAAAATAAACTTCTTGAATCAAAATAAACTTCTTGAATTAATTTATTATTCGAACAAATCTGTTTTATACATTGACCCAAAAAAAAAGCGTGAAATTCCTCTTTAATGAATTTGGAGTCAAATGAAAGAACTAAAGCAACTTGAAAAGGAATTTCCCATCTTGATAGTAAACGAAAATGAGGTTTCGATGATATCTGAACTCACATGAAAGAAATGCTGGACTGCAGCTTCCAAATTCCAATGATTGTAAACCAAGAAATCTTTTGCTAACTTGTCGCCTACTGCGCACACCTCCTATAGCAAATATCAACCTTATACCATATGATATTTAGTATTTCTTTTTATATCATGATTTTTATAGCCAACTATTATTATAAAAACCCTGTAAGTGGCATCTATATCAACATTACTTACTTTTTCACATCTAAACAAACATAACCTCTCAAGCTCCTCTACATCTAAATCAGAATAACCTGCCTTCCGCTTTACGGATATATCAAAAAGGACATGCTAAATGTTGAAATAGCCTAAGTGACAAATTTAACTTGAAACACAAATAAAAAACGTGAAATAAACCAAAGCAATTTTCAACCCATTTCTCCAAGCCTAAACTTCACCAAAAAAGATGCGGTACTCTAAAACTGCTATCAATTTCATGAAATGCAATTCCAGAACTGCCAATTTAATGAAACGACCAGAAGTGCCGATGGAGATACAGCGAAATGCAATGCAGTGCAGCTATTCCCGATCTGTCACTCCAAAATTCATTTCATAGATGTATAAGATCATTCTAG